AGAACGGAACGAACTGCTGCACAGTACACTCGTCCTTTTGTTAGCGAACGGATATCACGCCTACGCCATAGGTGACGCAGGTTAGCAAAAGCCAATTGAGCCTTCTATATCGGTGCTGAGATTTCGTCAGTCACCAGGCCGTCAGCACTGATGAGACTCCCAAGATAAGTGAAGTGATCAACACGTTCGACTAATTCACTCCCTATCACTAGTTCAGGTGCCAATGCAACCCAGTATCGAAGCAACATTTTGCATTTCGAGGGGGAAAACCGCATCCCGAACATGCTTGCATTGTTGCTTATGGTAGTCAGAAGACTCTGCATTTTGTCAGAGTCTTCACCGAATAGAACTATGTCATCGGCATATTCTAGATCAGTAAGCGACTTTCCTGGTAGAAGGTCAACCCCTGAAAAATCTGACGAGCTTAATGTTAACTCTAAGAGGATGTCTACGACAAGTTTGGTCTCGTGTGCTGTTGCGGGTATGAGGGCGGTTATCACTTCCCGGCTGCCCACACCGTGGAAGGTTGTTTCTTGAGGAACCTGAAAAGGAAGATAGATTAGTGTTGGTCTTGGAGACCTGGGAGCGTGACCGCAGAGCCCAAGGGACAACTGCTTGAGGCCGGTCACGCACGGCCTTTTTATGAAAGGTTTTTTGAGGATTAGCTCCGTTCTTAAAGGCCCTTAGTGGGCACCCTTACCGACGGAGACGGAAATCCGTGAGGTAGGTTGAGGTGTGACATTTTTAGGGCCGACCTTTTCTAACCCTTCCTTCCTTGTGAGAAGGCAGCATCGCTGCAGATGCTGGTTGTCCGAGGGAAACACCTTACTGCTGTCACACCCCTCTGCAGTCAGCAGTACGACTTCGCCCTCAGACCTTGGTTAGCTGCTTTTAGTCTCATCGTTCTCCAGTTGACCTGCCTGGTATGGTAGGACCTGCAGGAACATGTGTTCCAGCCAGTATAGCTCGGTTGGATCATCACGATAGGCAAGCCCGACCACCACGTCAAGGTAGCAGCTTCGGTGGGGGATAGTTGCACATACGCTTTTATTGAAAAAATATTGAAGGTACTTAGGCTTATTCGACATGTATACAGGTAGGAATGGTTTGCGGAGAATCAATTTTCCCGCTTTAGCTTTAGTTTCTCTTATATTTCTATATTTTCCTCCGCGCTTTATTCATTTTATCAGTTTATCGTATCCTGATATAAAAATAACATTATACGTTGAATTAATGATTTAATAAATTTTTAATCTCACGTAAAGTCACCTTCACTTACTCACTTCAAAAACCGTATACTAGTCTTCCGCTTTTCAATTATATCATCGGCCTTTAGTTTTTATATACGTTAGTTTCGAATCAGATTAATAAATTACTTATTAGTCGATTAGTCGGTGAATTCTAATCATTTTACACATGCATATTAACATTCAAAATTTGTTCGTCACAATATTTCATTTTAGCATGATTTTTGAGCTTTTGAAAGTCCAATCATGACAAAAAGATTTCCTGAGATATCTATACTTTTTACAATTATGCGGTGTATTTTCTAAATCCGTGCCAAATTTCTAGTATTATCTTCGATGATGATTCGTATTTTTTGATCCGATTACTTATAGAATGTCGGGCTGAAAACGAAATTCGACCTAGAGAACTTGTTCGTTGTCTTGAATGTGGACACAGAGTCCTATACAAGAAACGGTCAAAACGAAGTAAGTTATGTAGGAGCTTTTTCTCTTTCTACTTGCAACATGAAGCAATTCTTAATGATCCTATACACTGTCATTACTTTATGCCGGACAAAATTTTGTACCACTTTCATGTTAGCACATTGTTTAATTAAGTGTGAAGGGTCGTCAGGCCATATATATTTACTCTGTCAATCGGTCAGCTACAACGTAGAATTTCGTACGTACGTGCATCAGTTCAAGTTGTCATGCCACAGCACAGATGAAATTGTCAGTTTAAATTCCATAGTGGTAGAGGTAATAGCAGTATCAATGGTAATCAAAAAGATTAGGGATCGAAGATGATCTGAGAAATATAACCCAATGAAATAAAGTTGAGAAGAAAAAAGATCATGAGGAATTTTGAAGATTAGAATCTAAGAAAAGAAAATATGTGAGCGATTTTGAGTTATATCATTCAAAGTCTCTAACCAGCGGTTACAATAGTTTCGCAGACCCCATCCAGTTAGTCTACACCGACTAACATGGCTCAGTCTAGTCAGTGACTTCACGAATTTTCCCAATGTTTTGGTTTGCTGTCTCTAGCTTTCTGTCAGTCTACCCTTACATCTGACATCGCTAGTCGAGGTAGCTGGTAGTTAGGCATACACAACACATGTCCCAACCACCTCAACTAGTGAAGTTTCAATACTTCATCTATTGACTTGCTATCCTTACCTAGTACCCGTTTCCTAACGACAGCATTGCTTACTCGGCTGTCCAAGGGAATACGAGCAGTGCTTCGAAGACACCTATGATCGAAACTAGTGACCCACGAATATCGTCTATTTTGACTGTCCATGTTTCACACCCGTATATTAGGGCGTTTAGTGAGCTGCACTACACATCAAATTTGCCGGTTTAGATCTGCGATTTGAATAATTATTACATGACTGCATATTTATTTCAGTAGCTCAAATGTAATCATTATATATCGTGCTTTTCTCTACTATCCTGTTATGTGCCATCGTGAATTGTGACAGCATAAGATAGTAAACTTTTTTACGAGTTTTTTAATCGGTACATTTGTGTCACACAGATCACATTGGTTTAAAGCCCCCTTTCGCACCAGTAGTTTATATGTTCTCTATAACGTTTTCACGCGAAGAAACGGAATTATCTCCAGGATTGTAGTTTAACAAAAAACAAAGCAACTGACACTGTCACACTTTGTAACAATATAGAGCCTACATTTATGTCAACTAAAACGAACGGAAGATTTTGTGTCAAATATGTTAAGGAAGTTGAAAAATTTTACTTCTTGTTTAATATGTAAAATGGCGAGTTAGTGGCTAAAAAAACTCGATTTTCAACTAATATATCACAGGCTCAAACCCTCACTCGAATAGGAGTCCATAAACCTGTACTGAACAACTGAGCTATATCAAAATGTTATTATTCAGAATGTGTACTGTCGTATCCCTTCAAATTTTATTCCCCTATATCATGTTCTTAGATTCTTTGACGAAACTTATAACAGATAAAAAAAACTAAGTTAGTTATCCAAATATTGAGAAATTTTACCATTTATCACGGGAGTTTAATTGAATACTTAATCGTGGCTTTAATCTTTACAAACGTTTATGTAGTTTATAAGTTTTTATCCTCTATTATACTGTGGTTTTGACAGTTTAGATGAAACTTATTTTTTCCCGTATCATAATTCAGAGAAATTCGTAGACGATATGAAAATCATATAAACAACTCCAAAGATAGTTGATATAAGTCTTGTTCTTCCGACACAAACACGCTTATTTAAAAGGCTGATTATTTATGTTCTTTTATATGATACTTTCAGTCCCCGAATTCTGACTTACAGTTTGTTTAGAATGGGTTTTTTTGCCCTAGAGGTCAGTTCTAAAAAATATTAACTTCAGACAAACCAACATTTCAATATTCTTATTGTTGAATTGATTTAAACTTTCTTTTATTTTAGTGAGCGTTTTCGAGGCTCGATGATGGTAATACAATCCCCAACAGATTTCTGTTTGATTTTGTAAATATTTTGCGAAATATAGATATGCTATTTTGTGTAATGATCTTTTTACTTTTTCTATGATTAATTAATCTTTTGTATACAAAAGGTGATTAATAATCATTTTTACTTAACTGGTCTACTGTATAACTGCATTCGATAAGTAATCAGACTTTAGCTTATCCTAAACACTATCATCCATACTTCACCCACATCATAAGATAAACGTTTATACATAGTTAGTTATCAATCACCGCCTGCAAATATAGCATATTAAGGTGATGTACCTTTCACGCTGTTGCGACCCTAGTTTTGCTGTAAAAGTTCGGATGTAGAACACTGAGGTGCAGAAAATTCTTCTGTAAGCTAGAGAAATATTATCTTTCTGAGATACAACACATTACAATTGTCTATGTGCATGAAGGATTGTTCACATTTATTAGGAACAGTGTATCAATAGTTCATAGGTTAAATCATGGCTGGTCATTGTAGAGACAACGATTTAATGGTGTTATATTGAAACACTGATTTCTGTGGTTTCAGTTTGTTTTGAGCATGGTGTCCGAACAGTTTCCACAGTGAGTACAGCCTGACAATATTGAAAAGTGACATGAACGTGTAATCGATCTGTAATACAGTGAAGGATGTTTACTTGAATTAAATGATCAACATTCAATAATTACAATGCTACAAGTATGTCTTAGTCATCGGTGTACATTTAAAGTGGGGCATATGTTGAATGTGTTGAAGAATGTGCCAGTCATTAAGTCTGATTATTGGTCTAACGTAAATAAAGAGTAGTAAACCTCTGATGCTAATTCTCTGAAACAGCGAATTCAATTGTTCAGAGATAGTCATCTGAATTAGATATGCAATTTATATCGTGTAGGCAATAGTGCTACCGAATTCACCCATCCCAATTACAGCCCAAAATAAAAACCAATGGTTATTTATGTATACTTTCCCTTTGATTTATGTATAAATATTCCTATTTGTATGATATTATGACTAGAATTATATTCTAAACATTCCTGTTATATAGCCTCATCTCTTCCATTTCTTTACAACATAACTCCGCATTGTTTAGCGCGCATCTTAAAAATTTATTGTACAAAAAAACTTTTATCTTATAAATGGTTAGATGAAGTACGGATTCTTTAAAGCGGAAAATATTTAAATGTAACGCAGCTTTCAATTGGCATGCCTTTTTAATGTGATATTTCTCGACAACATCAACTACTGAAACAATCCGAAAATCCTGTAGCAACAATGTTTACTTTTCGGAAACTTGTACTTTACAACTTCATAATTATACAACTCCTTCATTAAAAGTAGATTTTTGTTTCATTAAAAAATATTAAAGTGCTATAATTCCTTTAATTACCTCAATTAAGCCTAGTTGAAAAAAACATTTACAAACCTGAGGACCGAGCGGGCTTTGCTCATTAACTATGATATAAATATACGTAGTAATATTTCGGGATATTACTCAGTATTATCTGTGATCTTTAAAGCCTCGTAGAATACTCGCCCATGACTTAGCCAATTCACGGTAAAAGTCGCGCACTACTTCAGCCATATAACGGGGATCCCATAAACTCTGACTACTATCCTCAGTTTGTGGTGTGTCGTCTTTGTTTTGATCTTGAATCGTATTACGATCACGTTGTTCGTCTTGTTCATTTGTGTTCGTTTGTTTAGTTTTCATCAAATAATCAATGGCTGCTTTTTTATTGAAACGAAAACGCTGCATTTGATAAGTAGGGACTAATCTATTGTATCGGCCAAGTGATTGATCTAATTCTTCCTTGAAATTTTGTTGGAAATTAAGAAAAAGATAAACACTATTTTGATGAACTAGACAACATATACTGCTAAAAACAAATTTTGTCGAATCCAAAATAATTGTTATCATTTATATGAACATCAACTCAATTTTTAATTTTAAAAAATGATTATTTGAACCGTGATAGGAGAATTTAAAATTCCCTGTTTATTCCAATGATAGCTGTAATTCATGATTAGCGACCTCAAACAAAATGAGTGGTTTTGTCACTGAGGAGGGTTCGGCGTATTTTTATGTCGCTAATTTTCTTAAATGCTTTCTAATTAAATATAGATCGGATAATGGGGCTTGTCTTCCTCATTTTTGTGCTGAACAGAACGTATTTTAAGCCTGTACCAACTTCCGAAACAATCATTAACCAGGTTTCATTACTTTCCTTCCTATTTCTACTGATACCTGGATTTATAAATCCTACCACAACTATCTGCCAACGATTTAAACACAAACCTAATTATAGCTGCTCCTGAAATACCTATTTAGAGTACAATCAGGCTACAGTGTATCTTAATCCCAGGTTATGCTTCAATGGTAAACAAGGTTGCTGCCCTAAATAGATTGTTGCAAGAAGGTTGGCTACGCAGTGATTAGTTATTAAATATCAAATTGAATTTAAAAGTAGATTTTAAGTGGGCCAGAAAATAATTCAGCATTTCAGTTCTAAGTGTTTATGAAAAAATGGTTTCTGAAATAGTCTAGGTTCTTGAACCACCCCCAACGTACAAACACCTATGGATGCGTCCTATTTATTCCTGTTATTTTCTTTTAGGCTTATAGTACGATAACATATGTAAATTCTTCAAACGAAAGCTTTTAGAATTTAGGTAACAGCTGTTAGAACTGGTAAAGAAGACAAGCTGTTGGCTTGGAAGCAGTGACTATGTTATGTTTAAAGAATTAAGAGGAAACCTGATGTACTAAAAAGGTATATCGAAAAGAAAATGGTTATAACCTGAATTGGAAATGTTACGGCTCTTCACTCTCAAGAATTATGCACCACTAGGCGCATTTAAATTGTAGTCCGTTAATGTATTACGAAGATTGTACAAATGACATAAAAAGCGTTTTATACAGTATACAGGGTTTTGCTCAAAATGTAGATTCAGTGACCACTTCATTTTTTCCAGATATCCGAACACATACATTTATCTCAGATGTCACTGCCTGCGAATTTACTTATTGAGTTTGTGTGAAAACTTGTAAGAATAGTGACACGTGATAATGTCTATTTGCATTCTCCACCTACACAACAATAAGTGTGAACTTTACTAGGTGTCAGTTTCATTCCACAAGATCTAGTATACGGATTTAGTCATACAATTGACCTTAATGTGAGTTAGAGGACCAAATGGGACAGCGTCTTGATTATAGTTCTGAGATTCCGTGAATGAAAAGCAGCGAAAATCATCGTCTTCTACAGTCTCACCTTGATAACGTTGTAGGATTTAACTTGTCTTACAGATGTAATTCTAGAACGGTGAACGCAATATTGGCGAGCACAGAGTCTATGGAAAAGCTATAGTCAGATACAAGATCAACTTTTGCTTTAAACTATCTGTTTCGACCAATATAGCGTGTCTTATGGAAATGGATTAAACTATGAGTCATCAATATAATAAGATAATAACGTCCTTCAATTAGTAGGTCATTTACAACAAAGAAAGTTTACAGACATGTCAAATCAGATCACGTGGTGGGCGCTTAAACCACAATTTGATTGGTTAATTGTGAAAATAACCAACATTACCCCCGAAGCGGTCACCACACCTAGGCCCCGTTACCGTCGCGCTCGAATAACTGACCTCTTCCAGTAAGCATAGGTTCCGTATACCTCGGCTAGGTGTCTGTCTTCAATCGAATCGTTTTGACTCGGTCATCTGTACCAACATTGGTCTTGTTCCAACTATAGCTTTCTCATAGACTCAGTGCTCGCCAATATTGCGTTTATCGTTCTAGAATTACATCTGTAGGACAAATTAAATCCCACAAACGTATTCATAATTATCACAATCTTCGAGTCTGAGGAAGGAAAGAAAATGTCTAACTCAGTAACCTCTAACACTAAGTTGTTGGCGAATAGGTTTAAACCATATTGTTATTAGTCGATCCGACAAGAACGGTGAAAGGTTATTGGTATTATTTGACTAACTGCTTGGAATTGCGCACTGGTTTGTTTTCGTGTGCATCACTCATCATATACTTGGAAGAAAGCATTAGTTTTTTATTATAGGAACGATTCACTAGACATTTGATGCGATATAAAAATAATGTAGTTTATCAAAACACTAATATAGGAGGGAACAAGCTTGGCCTAAAGTTAGTGAGTCTTTACAGCTTTTTAATTAGTAATTACGTATGAAGGCAACCTAAACTTAAATAGCCAGTAGCCATTTAGACCTGCTAAGTGTACTACATTTAAAGGGTCAAAGATTATGAATCAATAATTTCTTGAGACAAGTGACTGGAGTAGGTATCATTACCAAGGTTGGACTTTATAGTTTCAAAGAAATTGAGCAAGGTGTCGAAAATTAGCAGTGATAAAATAATTATGATTTTTTGGTGATATTTCAGTGTGTAGAAACTAGTATTCCTAACGTTTTGTGACTTAATGCAAGTCCTTTCAGAGTGGCTGAGGTGTTGGACAACAGAATTTGACGGACATTTCAAGTAGACTAAAACTGCAGCTAAGTGAATCATCAAATCAAAAGACTGAGAAAACTGGGGTCAAGTAAACCAGTGAAACCTGACTGTCCGCTGACAGAAGCCGTTGGAAACTGTGCTAATCTTCAGCTGAGAGTGAAATGTAATATATGTAGACAGGTTAAGTTAACTGAAAATAAATAAAATGTTCTATATCGCCGATAAAATTAACTTAGTATCATTAGCTATTATTCAGATTAAGCTGACATGACCACTGGGAATTATCTATGGTGACCTTGTATTTATGATTGAAGATTCTAACAAGCGTTTTGCAATCCTGAGCTGTATAAATTTCAATACACTGGACAATAGATTATTTAGAAAGTCAATAACAGTTGATGGATCCTAATGACATCTATAAACACCTACAAACTAGAGTTGGAAAATTATCGAACACGAATCATAGTACTAGATAACAACAAGTAATATATTGAAATCTTATTAACATAACACAGCTATATAACTGACATTTAGTCGTAGCATACCGATACAAACAAACAATTGGAATTAATAGCAACTAAATTTTGAACTATAGTCAGTAAACTTGTTTATATTTAAGAATATATATCTTTAAGCAAAAATCTCTTATGTGACATACAACGCATCAACGACGTTTTACTACACATAAACTCAATAATAAATGTACTTCAATTGCTTAACGAAGTAGACAAAAACATTCAAGAGAAATAACCACGTTTGTGAGGAAGAATTAGAAAATTACAAACTTTTTCACATAGAAAATCAATGCTTAAAATCACTATTCTATGTAATATCAGCTTAAATAAACTTGGTGAGCTGTGTAAGGCAAAATATGTATTAGAAAAATTACATTCAATCAAAAGAAATTCATTGTGTATCAACTGTTCTGGGTGATTTATTTATGAATTAGTCAAAATGACAAGGAAAGGAGTTAATCACAGAAAATAACTATTACAGGAAGTAAAAAAGTGGAATATACATATCAGAATATTTTCTTTACAAGAAAAGTAGATCGAAAATTCTACCCACAGTCTTTAACTAAAGTGGAGAAACAAGATGAGGACATTAGACATTACAAACAAATGATCAGCTGATAGGATCGTATCATTCAATAACTTAAAAGTCTGGATTTGCCAAAATAGTTTGTTAACATTTCTTGATCTATCCACCTTTATCCTTGGTTTCAACCTAAACTTGTGTCAGTAAATAAATCGCTCGCAATTAGACAATAGCTAGCCATATGTAACATATTTCTATCACCTCAGTTGACGAACATCGATAGCTTCGTTAATCAATCTGCCTTTTATTCCGAGTACCGTGCAGCTTATAGTAACGTTAACCCATTTGGTTCCAAACATACACGAGTAATGCTTTAGCGATAACTATGGTGACTAACAGTGAATAAAAAGACGAAAGTTTCACTGAGGATTTCGTTTAGAGCTCCAACATCGACTTCCCTTATTTTTTTTCATCCAGGAAGTCACAATGTGCTATAGCGTCATGTTCTTAAAAGACTTTAAATAACAGAAATGAAATTCCCAGTGAAAATCATCCACTTATATGCAACAAACATTCACTAAAAGAACAGAAAGATACTTGGAAAATTTTCATATTTAACTTTTACTGGACATTCAATAAACCGTGATTATCTTACAGATAGGGAGTGAAAATATCTTTGTATACTGCGTAAAACGTTTAAAGTAATGTCACAAAATTACTTTTTGCCACTATAGAGTAAATCTGATAGAAGTAAATGTATCAGATCATCAGAACTGTCTTTGTAGATTACGTACAAAAGACAAATCGATACTATTCTTACATTCTAATCCACAACACATAATCCTGAAACAAACCCTAACCTTATGCTACTTTATTTTACGAACGGACCAATCAGATATTGCCCCTTGTATTTTGTGATAAAAATTTGAACTCGAAATCCCTATTCCTCTAACACTAAAAACTTGACTCTTAAAAATCTATTTGATCCCTTTTAAGAATCCAAGAACTAACGGACAATCTGATAATCATGATTTATGTCATTATTTCTTTTTCGATTTACAAGCAGAATGACCTATACAAAAGAAATTTTACTGATAGACTTCAACTAATCGGACTTGATAAATGCTAGATAAATCACTATATTTCAAAGTTTTGTAAAACAGATAGATCTCACATGTTTTAGATCTATCTGTTTTACAAAACTTTGAAATATAGTGATTTATCTAGCATTTATCAAGTCCGATTAGTTGAAGTCTATCAGTAAAATTTCTTTTGTATAGGTCATTCTGCTTGTAAATCGAAAAAGAAATAATGACATAAATCATGATTATCAGATTGTCCGTTAGTTCTTGGATTCTTAAAAGGGATCAAATAGATTTTTAAGAGTCAAGTTTTTAGTGTTAGAGGAATAGGGATTTCGAGTTCAAATTTTTATCACAAAATACAAGGGGGGGCAATATCTGATTGGTCCGTTCGTAAAATAAAGTAGCATAAGGTTAGGGTTTGTTTCAGGATTATGTGTTGTGGATTAGAATGTAAGAATAGTATCGATTTGTCTTTTGTACGTAATCTACAAAGACAGTTCTGATGATCTGATACATTTACTTCTATCAGATTTACTCTATAGTGGCAAAAAGTAATTTTGTGACATTACTTTAAACGTTTTACGCAGTATACAAAGATATTTTCACTCCCTATCTGTAAGATAATCACGGTTTATTGAATGTCCAGTAAAAGTTAAATGTGAAAATTTTCCAAGTATCTTTCTGTTCTTTTAGTGAATGTTTGTTGCATATAAGTGGATGATTTTCACTGGGAATTTCATTTCTGTTATTTAAAGTCTTTTAAGAACATGACGCTATAGCACATTGTGACTTCCTGGATGAAAAAAAATAAGGGAAGTCGATGTTGGAGCTCTAAACGAAATCCTCAGTGAAACTTTCGTCTTTTTATTCACTGTTAGTCACCATAGTTATCGCTAAAGCATTACTCGTGTATGTTTGGAACCAAATGGGTTAACGTTACTATAAGCTGCACGGTACTCGGAATAAAAGGCAGATTGATTAACGAAGCTATCGATGTTCGTCAACTGAGGTGATAGAAATATGTTACATATGGCTAGCTATTGTCTAATTGCGAGCGATTTATTTACTGACACAAGTTTAGGTTGAAACCAAGGATAAAGGTGGATAGATCAAGAAATGTTAACAAACTATTTTGGCAAATCCAGACTTTTAAGTTATTGAATGATACGATCCTATCAGCTGATCATTTGTTTGTAATGTCTAATGTCCTCATCTTGTTTCTCCACTTTAGTTAAAGACTGTGGGTAGAATTTTCGATCTACTTTTCTTGTAAAGAAAATATTCTGATATGTATATTCCACTTTTTTACTTCCTGTAATAGTTATTTTCTGTGATTAACTCCTTTCCTTGTCATTTTGACTAATTCATAAATAAATCACCCAGAACAGTTGATACACAATGAATTTCTTTTGATTGAATGTAATTTTTCTAATACATATTTTGCCTTACACAGCTCACCAAGTTTATTTAAGCTGATATTACATAGAATAGTGATTTTAAGCATTGATTTTCTATGTGAAAAAGTTTGTAATTTTCTAATTCTTCCTCACAAACGTGGTTATTTCTCTTGAATGTTTTTGTCTACTTCGTTAAGCAATTGAAGTACATTTATTATTGAGTTTATGTGTAGTAAAACGTCGTTGATGCGTTGTATGTCACATAAGAGATTTTTGCTTAAAGATATATATTCTTAAATATAAACAAGTTTACTGACTATAGTTCAAAATTTAGTTGCTATTAATTCCAATTGTTTGTTTGTATCGGTATGCTACGACTAAATGTCAGTTATATAGCTGTGTTATGTTAATAAGATTTCAATATATTACTTGTTGTTATCTAGTACTATGATTCGTGTTCGATAATTTTCCAACTCTAGTTTGTAGGTGTTTATAGATGTCATTAGGATCCATCAACTGTTATTGACTTTCTAAATAATGTATTGTCCAGTGTATTGAAATTTATACAGCTCAGGATTGCAAAACGCTTGTTAGAATCTTCAATCATAAATACAAGGTCACCATAGATAATTCCCAGTGGTCATGTCAGCTTAATCTGAATAATAGCTAATGATACTAAGTTAATTATATCGGCGATATAGAACATTTTATTTATTTTCAGTTAACTTAACCTGTCTACATATATTACATTTCACTCTCAGCTGAAGATTAGCACAGTTTCCAACGGCTTCTGTCAGCGGACAGTCAGGTTTCACTGGTTTACTTGACCCCAGTTTTCTCAGTCTTTTGATTTGATGATTCACTTAGCTGCAGTTTTAGTCTACTTGAAATGTCCGTCAAATTTTGTTGTCCAACACCTCAGCCACTCTGAAAGGACTTGCATTAAGTCACAAAACGTTAGGAATACTAGTTTCTACAGACTGAAATATCACCAAAAAATCATAATTATTTTATCACTGCTAATTTTCGACACCTTGCTCAATTTCTTTGAAACTATAAAGTCCAACCTTGGTAATGATACCTTACTCCAGTCACTTGTCTCAAGAAATTATTGATTCATAATCTTTGACCCTTTAAATGTAGTACACTTAGCAGGTCTAAATGGCTACTGGCTATTTAAGTTTAGGTTGCCTTCATACGTAATTACTAATTAAAAAGCTGTAAAGACTCACTAACTTTAGGCCAAGCTTGTTCCCTCCTATATTAGTGTTTTGATAAACTACATTATTTTTATATCGCATCAAATGTCTAGTGAATCGTTCCTATAATAAAAAACTAATGCTTTCTTCCAAGTATATGATGAGTGATGCACACGAAAACAAACCAGTGCGCAATTCCAAGCAGTTAGTCAAATAATACCAATAACCTTTCACCGTTCTTGTCGGATCGACTCATAACAATATGGTTTATTCCTATTCGCCAACAACTTAGTGTTAGAGGTTACTAAGTTAGACATTTTCTTTCCTTCCTCAGACTCGAAGATTGTGATAATTATGAATACGTTTGTGGGATTTAATTTGTCCTACAGATGTAATTCTAGAACGATAAACGCAATATTGGCGAGCACTGAGTCTATGAGAAAGCTATAGTTGGAACAAGACCAATGTTGGTACAGATGACCGAGTCAAAACGATTCGATTGAAGACAGACACCTAGCCGAGGTATACGGAACCTATGCTTACTGGAAGAGGTCAGTTATTCGAGCGCGACGGTAACGGGGCCTAGGTGTGGTGACCGCTTCGGGGGTAATGTTGGTTATTTTCACAATTAACCAATCAAATTGTGGTTTAAGCGCCCACCACGTGATCTGATTTGACATGTCTGTAAACTCTTTGTTGTAAATGACCTACTAATTGAAGGACGTTATTATCTTATTATATTGATGACTCATAGTTTAATCCATTTCCATAAGACACGCTATATTGGTCGAAACAGATAGTTTAAAGCAAAAGTTGATCTTGTATCTGACTATAGCTTTTCCATAGACTCTGTGCTCGCCAATATTGCGTTCACCGTTCTAGAATTACATCTGTAAGACAAGTTAAATCCTACAACGTTATCAAGGTGAGACTGTAGAAGACGATGATTTTCGCTGCTTTTCATTCACGGAATCTCAGAACTATAATCAAGACGCTGTCCCATTTGGTCCTCTAACTCACATTAAGGTCAATTGTATGACTAAATCCGTATACTAGATCTTGTGGAATGAAACTGACACCTAGTAAAGTTCACACTTATTGTTGTGTAGGTGGAGAATGCAAATAGACATTATCACGTGTCACTATTCTTACAAGTTTTCACACAAACTCAATAAGTAAATTCGCAGGCAGTGACATCTGAGATAAATGTATGTGTTCGGATATCTGGAAAAAATGATGTGGTCACTGAATCTACATTTTGAGCAAAACCCTGTATACTGTATAAAACGCTTTTTATGTCATTTGTACAATCTTCGTAATACATTAACGGACTACAATTTAAATGCGCCTAGTGGTGCATAATTCTTGAGAGTGAAGAGCCGTAACATTTCCAATTCAGGTTATAACCATTTTCTTTTCGATATACCTTTTTAGTACATCAGGTTTCCTCTTAATTCTTTAAACATAACATAGTCACTGCTTCCAAGCCAACAGCTTGTCTTCTTTACCAGTTCTAACAGCTGTTACCTAAATTCTAAAAGCTTTCGTTTGAAGAATTTACATATGTTATCGTACTATAAGCCTAAAAGAAAATAACAGGAATAAATAGGACGCATCCATAGGTGTTTGTACGTTGGGGGTGGTTTAAGAACCTAGACTATTTCAGAAACCATTTTTTCATAAACACTTAGAACTGAAATGCTGAATTATTTTCTGGCCCACTTAAAATCTACTTTTAAATTCAATTTGATATTTAATAACTAATCTTTGCGTAGCCAACCTTCTTTCAACAATCTATTTAGGGCAGCAACCTTGTTTACCATTGAAGCATAACCTGGGATTAAGATACACTGTAGCCTGATTGTACTCTAAATAGGTATTTCAGGAGCAGCTATAATTAGGTTTGTGTTTAAATCGTTGGCAGATAGTTGTGGTAGGATTTATAAATCCAGGTATCAGTAGAAATAGGAAGGAAAGTAATGAAACCTGGTTAATGATTGTTTCGGAAGTTGGTACAGGCTTAAAATACGTTCTGTTCAGCACAAAAATGAGGAAGACAAGCCCCATTATCCGATCTATATTTAATTAGAAAGCATTTAAGAAAATTAGCGACATAAAAATACGCCGAACCCTCCTCAGTGACAAAACCACTCATTTTGTTTGAGGTCGCTAATCATGAATTACAGCTATCATTGGAATAAACAGGGAATTTTAAATTCTCCTATCACGGTTCAAATAATCATTTTTTAAAATTAAAAATTGAGTTGATGTTCATATAAATGATAACAATTATTTTGGATTCGACAAAATTTGTTTTTAGCAGTATATGTTGTCTAGTTCATCAAAATAGTGTTTATCTTTTTCTTAATTTCCAACAAAATTTCAAGGAAGAATTAGATCAATCACTTGGCCGATACAATAGATTAGTCCCTACTTATCAAATGCAGCGTTTTCGTTTCAATAAAAAAGCAGCCATTGATTATTTGATGAAAACTAAACAAACGAACACAAATGAACAAGACGAACAACGTGATCGTAATACGATTCAAGATCAAAACAAAGACGACACACCACAAACTGAGGATAGTAGTCAGAGTTTATGGGATCCCCGTTATATGGCTGAAGTAGTGCGCGACTTTTACCGTGAATTGGCTAAGTCATGGGCGAGTATTCTACGAGGCTTTAAAGATCACAGATAATACTGAGTAATATCCCGAAATATTACTACGTATATTTATATCATAGTTAATGAGCAAAGCCCGCTCGGTCCTCAGGTTTGTAAATGTTTTTTTCAACTAGGCTTAATTGAGGTAATTAAAGGAATTATAGCACTTTAAATTTTTTAATGAAACAAAAATCTACTTTTAATGAAGGAGTTGTATAATTATGAAGTTGTAAAGTACAAGTTTCCGAAAAGTAAACATTGTTGCTACAGGATTTTCGGATTGTTTCAGTAGTTGATGTTGTCGAGAAATATCACATTAAAAAGGCATGCCAATTGAAAGCTGCGTTACATTTAAATATTTTCCGCTTTAAAGAATCCGTACTTCATCTAACCATTTATAAGATAAAAGTTTTTTTGTACAATAAATTTTTAAGATGCGCGCTAAACAATGCGGAGTTATGTTGTAAAGAAATGGAAGAGATGAGGCTATATAACAGGAATGTTTAGAATATAATTCTAGTCATAATATCATACAAATAGGAATATTTATACATAAATCAAAGGGAAAGTATACATAAATAACCATTGGTTTTTATTTTGGGCTGTAATTGGGATGGGTGAATTCGGTAGCACTATTGCCTACACGATATAAATTGCATATCTAATTCAGATGACTATCTCTGAACAATTGAATTCGCTGTTTCAGAGAATTAGCATCAGAGGTTTACTACTCTTTATTTACGTTAGACCAATAATCAGACTTAATGACTGGCACATTCTTCAACACATTCAACATATGCCCCACTTTAAATGTACACCGATGACTAAGACATACTTGTAGCATTGTAATTATTGAATGTTGATCATTTAATTCAAGTAAACATCCTTCACTGTATTACAGATCGATTACACGTTCATTTCACTTTTCAATATTGTCAGGCTGTACTCACTGTGGAAACTGTTCGGACACCATGCTCAAAACAAACTGAAACCACAGAAATCAGTGTTTCAATATAACACCATTAAATTGTTGTCTCTACAATGACCAGCCATGATTTAACCTATGAACTATTGATACACTGTTCCTAATAAATGTGAACAATCCTTCATGCACATAGACAATTGTAATGTGTTGTATCTCAGAAAGATAATATTTCTCTAGCTTACAGTAGAATTTTCTGCACCTCAGTGTTCTACATCCGAACTTTTACAGCAAAACTAGGGTCGCAACAGCGTGAAAGGTACATCACCTTAATATGCTGTATTTGCAGGCGGTGATTGATAACTAACTATGTATAAACGTTTATCTTATGATGTGGGTGAAGTATGGATGATAGTGTTTAGGATAAGCTAAAGTCTGATTACTTATCGAATGCAGTTATACAGTAGACCAGTTAAGTAAAAATGATTATTAATCACCTTTTGTATACAAAAGATTAATTAATCATAGAAAAAGTAAAAAGATCATTACACAAAATAGCATATCTATATTTCGCAAAATATTTACAAAATCAAACAGAAATCTGTTGGGGATTGTATTACCATCATCGAGCCTCGAAAACGCTCACTAAAATAAAAGAAAGTTTAAATCAATTCAACAATATGAATATTGAAATGTTGGTTTGTCTGAAGTTAATATTTTTTAGAACTGACCTCTAGGGCAAAAAAACCCATTCTAAACAAACTGTAAGTCAGAATTCGGGGACTGAAAGTATCATATAAAAGAACATAAATAATCAGCCTTTTAAATAAGCGTGTTTGTGTCGGAAGAACAAGACTTATATCAACTATCTTTGGAGTTGTTTATATGATTTTCATATCGTCTACGAATTTCTCTGAATTATGATACGGGAAAAAATAAGTTTCATCTAAACTGTCAAAACCACAGTATAATAGAGGATAAAAACTTATAAACTACATAAACGTTTTGTAATTATTAAAGCAACGATTAAGTATTCAATTAAACTCCCGTGATAAATGGTAAAATTTCTCAATATTTGGATAACTAACTTAGTTTTTTTTATCTGTTATAAGTTTCGTCAAAGAATCTAAGAACATGATATAGGGGAATAAAATTTGAAGGGATACGACAGTACACATTCTTAATAATAACATTTTGATATAGCTCAGTTGTTCAGTACAGGTTTATGGACTCCTATTCGAGTGAGGGTTTGAGCCTGTGATATATTAGTTGAAAATCGAGTTTTTTTAGCCACTAACTCGCCATTTTACATATTAAACAAGAAGTAAAATTTTTCAACTTCTTTAACATATTTGACACAAAATCTTCCGTTCGTTTAGTTGACATAAATGTAGGCTCTATATTGTTACAAAGTGTGACAGTGTCAGTTGCTTTGTTTTTTGTTAAACTACAATCCTGGAGATAATTCCGTTTCTTCGCGTGAAAACGTTATAGAGAACATATAAACTACTGGTGCGAAAGGGGGCTTTAAACCAATGTGATCTGTGTGACACAAATGTACCGATTAAAAAACTCGTAAAAAAGTTTACTATCTTATGCTGTCACAATTCACGATGGCACATAACAGGATAGTAGAGAAAAGCACGATATATAATGATTACATTTGAGCTACTGAAATAAATATGCAGTCATGTAATAATTATTCAAATCGCAGATCTAAACCGGCAAATTTGATGTGTAGTGCAGCTCACTAAACGCCCTAATATACGGGTGTGAAACATGGACAGTCAAAATAGACGATATTCGTGGGTCACTAGTTTCGATCATAGGTGTCTTCGAAGCACTGCTCGTATTCCCTTGGACAGCCGAGTAAGCAATGCTGTCGTTAGGAAACGGGTACTAGGTAAGGATAGCAAGTCAATAGATGAAGTATTGAAACTTCACTAGTTGAGGTGGTTGGGACATGTGTTGTGTATGCCTAACTACCAGCTACCTCGACTAGCGATGTCAGATGTAAGGGTAGACTGACAGAAAGCTAGAGACAGCAAACCAAAACATTGGGAAAATTCGTGAAGTCACTGACTAGACTGAGCCATGTTAGTCGGTGTAGACTAACTGGATGGGGTCTGCGAAACTATTGTAACCGCTGGTTAGAGACTTTGAATGATATAACTCAAAATCGCTCACATATTTTCTTTTCTTAGATTCTAATCTTCAAAATTCCTCATGATCTTTTTTCTTCTCAACTTTATTTCATTGGGTTATATTTCTCAGATCATCTTCGATCCCTAATCTTTTTGATTACCATTGATACTGCTATTGCCTCTACCACTATGGAATTTAAACTGACAATTTCATCTGTGCTGTGGCATGACAACTTGAACTGATGCACGTACGTACGAAATTCTACGTTGTAGCTGACCGATTGACAGAGTAAATATATATGGCCTGACGACCCTTCACACTTAATTAAACAATGTGCTAACATGAAAGTGGTACAAAATTTTGTCCGGCATAAAGTAATGACAGTGTATAGGATCATTAAGAATTGCTTCATGTTGCAAGTAGAAAGAGAAAAAGCTCCTACATAACTTACTTCGTTTTGACCGTTTCTTGTATAGGACTCTGTGTCCACATTCAAGACAACGAACAAGTTCTCTAGGTCGAATTTCGTTTTCAGCCCGACATTCTATAAGTAATCGGATCAAAAAATACGAATCATCATCGAAGATAATACTAGAAATTTGGCACGGATTTAGAAAATACACCGCATAATTGTAAAAAGTATAGATATCTCAGGAAATCTTTTTGTCATGATTGGACTTTCAAAAGCTCAAAAATCATGCTAAAATGAAATATTGTGACGAACAAATTTTGAATGTTAATATGCATGTGTAAAATGATTAGAATTCACCGACTAATCGACTAATAAGTAATTTATTAATCTGATTCGAAACTAACGTATATAAAACTAAAGGCCGATGATATAATTGAAAAGCGGAAGACTAGTATACGGTTTTTGAAGTGAGTAAGTGAAGGTGACTTTACGTGAGATTAAAAATTTATTAAATCATTAATTTAACGTATAATGTTATTTTTATATCAGGATACAATAAACTGATAAAATGAATAAAGCGCGGAGGAAAATATAGAAATATAAGAGAAACTAAAGCTAAAGCGGGAAAATTGATTCTCCGCAAACCATTCCTACCTGTATACATGTCGAATAAGCCTAAGTACCTTCATTATTTTTTCAATAAAAGCGTATGTGCAACTATCCCCCACCGAAGCTGCTACCTTGACGTGGTGGTCGGGCTTGCCTATCGTGATGGTTCCAACCGAGCTATACTGGCTGGAACACATGTTCCTGCAGGTCCTACCATACTAGGCAGGTCAACTGGAGAACGATGAGACTAAAAGCAGCTAACCAAGGTCTGAGGCGAAGTCGTACTGCTGACTGCAGAGGGGTGTGACAGCAGTAAGGTGTTTCCCTCGGACAGACCGCATCTGCAGCGATGCTGCCTTCTCACAAGGAAGGGAAGGGTTAGAAAAGGTCGGCCCTAAAAATGTCACACCTCAACCTACCTCACGGATTTCCGTCTCCGTCGGTAAGGGTGCCCACTAAGGGCCTTTAAGAACGGAGCTAATCCTCAAAAATCCTTGCATAAAAAGGCCGTGCGTTACCGGCCTCAAGCAGTTGTCCCTTGGGCTCTGCGGTCACGCTCCTATGTCTCCAAGACCAACACTAATCTATCTTCCTTTTCAGGTTCCTCAAGAAACAACCATCCACGGTGTGGGCAGCCGGGAAGTGATAACCGCCCTCATACCCGCACTTTGTCGTAGACATCCTCTTAGAGTTAACATTAAGCTCGTCAGATTTTTCAGGGGTTGACCTTCAACAGGAAAGTCGCTTACTGATCTAGAATATGCCGATGACATAGTTCTATTCGGTGAAGACTCTGACAAAATGCAGCGTCATCTGACTACCATAAGCAACAGTGCAAGCATGTTCGGGATGCAGTTTTCCCCTCGAAATGCAAAATGTTGCTTCAAGACTGGGTTGCATTGGCACCTGAACTAGTGATAGGGAGTGAAGTAGTCGAGCGTGTTGA